AATATATAAATATAAATAGAAGGCTTACCCCACTCTCCTTGGCAAACCTCTTATCCAGTCGGTGCACGGTTTCCAGTTTGCCTAAATACTGAAATACAGAACCGTGAGAGTAACAGGGGGTGCTTGTGAGCCAGTTTTCCGTGATTCTGTATGTGGCTTTGTTCGTGGTTTGATATATGGGTTAGGATGTGGTTCTGTATATATGGTGTTCTATATATGGACTTTGTTTGTGGCTCGGTGTTTGATTAATTTGGGGTTGTACTGGCGGCGGGTATGGCTTCGTATGTGGCTACCATTAAGATGTCGATGTGACTGCGAACAACAGAATAGCCTGTCTGTATTCAACGACCGTCGGAGCGAACACATGTAGAGTTTGAATGTATGTGGCAGGTGCAGCACATAAGAAGCATACGTGGGCGTCATACAGAACACTAAGTCATATAAAATATGCTGCGTCATGAAATACAGTACATAACGTCAGTAATCCAATGCAGCATTGGTTTGGGTTCCTATTGCGAGAAGAGCACCTGGCATACACGACGTACGGAGCCACGCGCAATAGTATACCATCCTATCGCTTATGACTACCACCCATCCTATCGCCTATGACTACCACTCATCCTATCGCTTACGACTACCAACCAATCCTTTCGCTCATGACTACCGACCAACTGACGAGTGCGACACACATGTACACGTTGATTCACAATATGGTTCCGTACTACATTAAACATGCATTTTTAATATATTTCTATATTTGGATAAAAAATTACACCTGTGATTACACATATACATCCCACCCACAGCGTAAGACGGGCCGAGTGGGCGACAGAACATCGCGATAGAGCAATGCTACATATCTGTACTATGAGACGACCTGTCATGTATCATGCAACGCAAGACGTACGCTGGCACACACAGTCTATCTGTGTGTACTGCAGCTTGACTAAGGGGTCGGTACACACAGGCACATGATTACATACCCCAGAGCTGTCGTATGACTCACTGGCGATGGCGAGATCTACCATAATCTGTGCAACAGTCAAGGGGGCAAACGAAACGGTGAATGCGAGTGTATTTGAGGCAGGTTAGCGTTTCAGAAGTATGTGCTAGCAATTGTACTCAGAATAGACGCTTTGAAAGAAAGTGTACTCTGGCAGGGTTGCTGAGTGTTGTGGTGATATCACGGTATCTTTGATTGACCTAATTGCTACAATGTGTCACAGAAAACTACTGAAGAGACACTCGATTGGTAGTAGCATACGCGGACGTAATGGGCTCAGTCACTGCAGGCTCAACCACTCCTATTTATAGCGCATTGGACTGTTATTGAGGTTATGCCATAATACATATTAATGGACATATATGGAAAACAATGGACATACAGGGTAAAAAAAATGAATATAAGGCGTCTCAGTCAGATGTCCACGATAAACCAGTGACTACAATCTCCACGGAACGGCTCACACAATCCTTGTTCCTTGTTCAGCAAGCTCAGTAGACCGACAGACAACGACTAACGAAGTGCGGTACCGAAGTTATGATGCTCCCCTTCCTATGCAGTTGCTTAGCAGTGCACGCATAAGTATAGGCATACCCAGCGATACACCCGGCAAACAACACGCCCCACGAGACACAGGGCTGGAGGATATCAGACTGATTCCCTCATCGAACAAGTGTTGTTCACACCCACCAAATCAGCACACAATGATCCCCAGACGTACACGTACACGTACGCATACCTTTCGCACTAGTTCGCCTGCTATCTTGCGGCCGATCTGGGCCTTCTCTTCTTTGGTCAGGCCATACTCTTGAGGCACGATGTACTTGGTGAGATTGAAAGACACCTGGTACAGCTCTGCGGAACACCATGCGAGTGAGTGGTAGGTTTTATGTGAGTGATGGATTTACTCGAGCTTAATAGGGGCTATATATATATATATATATATATATATATATCTATGTATAATATATACACATACATAATGT